CGTTGGCAGAAGCAGCAGATTGTGGCGCTGCTGAGCGAGACGGCAGTCGTGAAGCTGGAGCCCGACATCGGCCGCTACAGCACTGTGATCAGCGCCCGCGAGAAGGGGCAGTGGCAGCCAGCTCTGGCTCGGCTCAGCGAGATGCTTGGGGGCGAAGCTGGAGCCCACCATCATCGCCTACGGCGCTGTGAACAGCGCGCGCGAGAAGAGCAGGCGTTGGCCGCGGCAGCACGTCGTGGCGCTGCTGGGCGAGATCCTGCTCGTGAAGCTGGAGCCCAACATCATCGCCGGCGTTGCTGTGATAACAGCATGCGAGAAGTGCAGGCGTTGGCAGTGGCAGCAAACAGCGGCTCTGCTGAGCAAGATCCTGGTCGTGAAGCTGGAGCCCAACATCACCACCTACGGCGTCCTGAACAGGTCGTGCGAGAAGAGCATGCGTTGGAAGTGGCAGCAGGCTGTGGCGCTGCTGAGCGAGATCGCGGTCGTGAAGCTGGAGCCCAACATCATCACCTACGGCACTGTGAACAGCGCGTGCGTCAGGAGCAGGCGTTGGCAGTGGCAGCCGGTCGCGGCGGTGCTGAGCGAGATCGCGGTCGTGAAGCTGGAGCCCAACATCATCACCTACGGCGCTGTGACCAGCGCGTGCGAGAAGAGCGGCCGTTGGCTGTGGCAGCCGGTCGCGGCGGTGTTGAGCGAGATCTTGGTCGTGAAGTTGGAGTTCAGCGTCATCGCTTACGACATCTTGCACAGGTCGTGCGAGAAGAGCGGCCGTTGGCAGCGACAGCAGGCCGTGGCGCTGCTGAGCGAGATGGCAGTCGCGAAGCTGGAGCCCAACATCATCACCTACGGCGCTGTGAACAGCGCGCGCGAGAAGAGCAGGCGTTGGCTGTGGCAGGCGGTTGTGGCGCCGGGGAGCGACACCGCGGTCGTGAAATTGACGCCCCTTGTCCTCGCCCACGGCATTGCGAATGTCGCGTGCGGCGGGAGCAGGCGGCAGCAGTGGAAGCCAGCAGTGGCGCTGCTGAGCGAGACCCTGGTCGTGAAGCTGGAGCCCAACATCATCACCTACGGCATGCTGAACAGGTCTTGCGCGAAGAGCGGTCGTTGGCAGTGGCAGCCGGTCGTGGCGGTGCTGAGCGAGATCCGGTTCGTGAAGCTGGATCCCGACATCGTCACCTGCGGCGCTGTGGACAGCGCGCGCGAGAAGTGCAGGCGTTGGCAGTGGCAACCAGTTGTGGCGCTGCGGAGCGAGATCTTGGTCGCGAAGCTGGAGCCCAACATCACCAACGGCGTCCTGAACAGCGCGTGCGACAAGCGCGGCAGTGGGCAGTGGCGCTGCTGAGCGAGATAGTGGTCGTGAAGCCAGAGTCCGCCATCATCATCTAGGTCATTGTGAACAGGACGTGCGAGAAGAGCAGGCGTCGGCAATCGCAGTGGGTTGTGGCGCTGCTGAGCGAGATTCCGTTCGCGAAACTGGAGCCCGCTATCGTCACCTGCGGCGCTGTGAACAGCGCGTGCGAGAAGAGCAGTGGCAGCCAGCAGTGGCGCTGCTGAGCGAGATCGTGGTCGTGAAGCTGGAGCCCAACATCATAACCTACGGCGCCGTGAACAGCACGTGCGAGAAGAGCAGGCGTTGGCAGTGGCAGCAGATTGTGGCGCTGCTGAGCGAGATGGCAGTCGCGAAGCTGGAGCCCAACATTAGCCGCCACAGCATTGTGATCATCGCCTGCGAGAAGGGGCAGTGGCAGCCAGCAGTGGCGCTGCTCAGCGAGACCCTGGTCGTGAAGCTGGAGCCCAACATCATCACCTACGGCACTGTGAACAGCGCGCGCGGGAAGAGCAGGCGGCGGCCGTCGCCGCCAGCAGTGGCGCTGCTGAGCGAGATCCCGGTCGTGAAGCTGGAGCCCAACATCATCAGCTACGGCATGCTGCACAGGTCGTGCGAGAAGAGCGGCCGTTGGCAGTGGCACCCGGTCGTGGCGGTGCTGAGCGAGATCCTGGTCGTGAAGCTGGATCCCAACATCATCACCTACGGCACCGTGAACATCGCGTGCGAGAAGAGCAGGCTTTGGCAGTGGTAGCCGGTTGTGTTCCTGCGGAGCGAGATCGTGGTCGTGAAGCTGGGGGCCAACATCATCACCTACGGCATCGTGAACAGCGCGTGCGAGAAGAGCAGGCGTTGGCAGTGGCAGCCATCAGTGGCGCTGCTGAGCGAGATCGTGGTCGTGAAGCTGGAGCCCAACATCATCACCTACAGCGTCGTGAACAGCACGTGCGAGAAGAGCAGGCGTTGGCAGTGGCAGCAGGTTGCGGCGCTGCTGACCGAGATGGAAGACGTGAAGCTGGAGCCCACCATCAGCCGCTACAGCGCTGTGATCAGCGCCTGCGAGAAGGGGCAGTGGCAGCCAGCTCCGGCTCGGCTCAGCGAGATGTTGGGAGTGAAGCTGGAGCCCACCATCATCGCCAACAGCGCGCGAGAAGAGCAGGCGTTGGCAGTGGCAGCAGGTTGTGGCGCTGCTGAGCGAGATGGAAGTCGTGAAGCTGGAGCCCAACATCGGCCGCTACAGCGCTGTGATCAGCGCCTGCGAGACGGGGCAGTGGCAGCCAGCTCCAGCTCGGCTCAGCGAGATGTTGGGAGTGAAGCTGGAGCCCACCATCATCTACGTCACTGTGGGCAGCGCGTGCGAGAAGAGCAGGCCTCGGCAGTAGACCGAGCGGCCCCCTCTGACGACGATGACCGGTAGAGGGGGGAAGGGGGGGAAAAATTGAGATCCCCGCTGGCAGAGGAATGTAGCTGACATGAGCTGATTTTGGTTTAGAAGCCCCTCTTTGTGGATGTACGGCCAGGTGACTCGTAGATGTATAGCTAGGCGACTCAACTGATGCCCTTCTGGTGGATGTATAGCTAGGCGACAATTGGTTCAGAAGCCCTTCTGTGTGGATGTATAGCTGGGCGGCTCAGCTGAGCAGACGCTGCACAGGCAGCCTGGCGGGGTGGCGGCGGCGCCGTCGACCCCTGCGCTGGCCCTGTCTGCGCCGCTCGGAACCTCCCGCCGCTGCCTGGTCGGGGAGCCTTCGACGCGTGACTTGCAGTGGGGGGCCATGCGAAGACAAAAGAAAATGCTTCGCCGGATAGGTGATGTCAATTCCCACCTGCCCCGGTCTCCCCTTCCCGCGCGTCCGCGGTTCCCTCTGCTGGCGCCCTCGACACACGCACCCTGGCCAGTCCCCACGCTTGCGTCTGCAATTCCTGGGCGTCTGGTCTGTAGTATTCTTGTCAGCTGGCCGTGCCTGGTGCCGGCCCTTTGGGGATTCATCTGCCGTCTCATTCAGGAGTAGTTCAGCCTTTTTGCAGTGGTCGGCGCACCCCCCCACTGTCGCATCGTTACCGCCTCATGGCACGTACCTTGCCACAGCTGTGGCCCTGACCCCTGGCGCCCTGTGGCGACAAGGTCCGTCTGCGTACCTGGTGACTTCCTCCCACGGTACCCACTTGAGCTCGTGCGCGCTCGCACCTCTCGGGCTCCGATCTCCTGGTTGCGCGCGGCTTTCCCTGGTCCGCCCGTCTGGTGGCACCGCCCCGCTTGGCAGACGTGTGGTCTGCTGGAACAGAGCAGGTCACGACCTCTCCTGGCGTGCAGGATCCAATTCTTCCGCATGTGTGCATCAGCCCCCCTCGCCGCTTGCAGTTGGCTCAGCCAGCTCAGCCTCAGCCTGCGGCCTCGCCTGCGGTAGGTTCTGATTATGGTTTCGGCCGCTGTGCTCTTAGATTCGCGCTGTGCTAATTTGACAGGCCCTTGGCCCGGACCTCTCAGCTCGGCGACTGCGAATTCGCGTCCGCCCGCGACCAAAAAAATATCCCCACCAGCCCTTCCAGAAATGGGTCCCCGGGGAGTGGAGGTGATGAGGGAAACGGGGGAGCATGCAGAAGAACAAAGGGCAAGGTAACCCGCCATATACCCCAAGAGGGGGAGGATGTAGGAGTCGTCGTCGTCGTCGGAGTAGGAGGAGGAACAGGAGGAGGAGCAGGAGGAGGAGCAGGAGGAGGGGGAGGAAAATGATGAGGAGGATATGGAGGAGGGCGAGGACCAGAAGGAGGAAAAGGAGAAGGAGGAGGAGGCGGAGGAGGAGGAGAGGGAGGGGGAGGAGGGACGAGGAGGAGGAGGAGGAGAACAATGGCGAGCTTGGGGGCCTCTTGGGCCGTCTTTGGGGCTTCTTGGCGGTCCCGTAGGGCCTCTTGCGTATCTCGGGGAGCGTTTTGGGGCCTCTTGGGGGTCTCTTGGGAGCCTTCTGGAGGCATTTTGGGCGCCTCTTGGGGCCCTCTTGGGGTGCTCTTGGGGCGCTCTTGGGAGCCTTCGGGGCGTTATTGGGGCCATGTTGGAGGAGATATATCAAAGAAGGGGGGGTCACATATTAGCCTTGCCCTTCTAGACCGCCTCGAATCGCTTCTTGGGCCCCTCGTGAGGCGATCTTGGAGCGATCTTTGGCGCTCTTCGGGCCGTCTTGGGGCTCTCTTGGGCCTCTCTTGCGGCCCTCTTGGGCAAGCGTGGAGCCATCTTGAGGCCTGTGAATGCCATCGGAAACGAAAAAGCGAGAAAGCCAACACCATTGACTTCCCGTAGGTTTTGGCATGATGTTGGCCTCTCGGGGGGCTCCGTGGGGAGCTCTTTGGCCACTTGCGGCCGTCTTGGTGCGGTCTTTAGGCCTCTTGGTGCATCTTGGGATCCATTTTGAGGCATCTTGCGCTATCTTGAGCCATCTTGGAGGCTATCGTGGGCTCTCTGAGGCCCTCTTGGAGCCGTCTTGGGTCATCTCGGACGCCCCAACGACCCGCGGAACCCTCCGTCCAGGTCCAGGGGAGGGGGTAGGAGGAGGGGTAAACCCCTCACCGAAGGGGAAGAAGGGTGTTGGAAGAGGAAACTGTCTAGACCACCGACGCCCAGAGGGCTGGTGGGATTACGTATGATCCACCTTGTGCTCTCAGCATGGGGTCCACCAAGGTCTCTACACGAGGCCGTGTGGGCTCTGAAGAGCAGCATGGGCGCGGTGCTTAGTCTGAGGCGCGTCGACCTTACTGCATGGCTTTCGATGACGGCATGAGTGGTGCCCAGAGGTTTGTACCGTCATTGCCGTTCCCCGTCTCCCACGCCCTTGGGCCCCACATACCGCTATGTGGATCATGCCAAGACCGTCCGACACCATCAGCAAGCTCAGCATCCTATGATGTGTCCCTCCTTAGTCCTCCTGCTCTTCCTGTCTTTTCTTTCTCCTTCCTCTCTTTCCCCGTGCGCCCCCAGACCCCCAGAGCCGCCAATATCCCGTCATATGTTTGCCCGAGACCTTCTCACGTCTTCAAGCGCGTGTCTTTCCTTCCTCCTCAGTCCTCTTCCTTCTCTCAAGGGGAGCATGGCCTCCTACTGGCCGCGGGTAGGGACTGTGTGGGCGATCACGTAGCCAGAGCTGCGGCCGCTGCGTGGTCAGAATTCGTCACCGCCCTTATCCGAACCATCGATCGGCGTGACACAGGGGCTTTCCTTACATTATCCGTAGGACTGCGCGAAGAGGTGTGGCGGACGCGATCCACGCCGACATTGCGGCCCCACGCCATGATCGGAACGCGAGGTTCGTGCTGGCCCTTCGTGCGTCCCAGCACGACTCGGGGCAAGTCGGCAGAAAATTGTCTTGCAGCGGCTGCTCGTGTTTCTTCAACCGCCAGCGGCTCTAATGCTGCACCAACAACAGATACCCTCGCCCCTCTTCCTGAAGCGATCGTGCCGCTCTGTGGTCGTCAGATTTCACGCGGACGAACTCCAAAGTACATTGACACCAGAAATAGATTGGACATGGCCGTGCAGACATTTTCTTTACGCGACAGGTTCTAAACCGCTACAGTAAATGCTACGCGGGCGGGCTAAAACTCCACGACAAGACCCACGACCTTCTGATATCCCGGGTGTCGAACCGGATCATTTCGCACGTGGGCAACAGGGTGATGTCTGCCCCAGTTGCACGAAAACCGTTTCCAATGGTGGCGGCACCGCCACGATCGCGTCGCAGACGGGCTGGCCGACCTCACCCTGGACATGCAGAAGACATGCGAGACGCGTTACGAGGCAGTCGCCCTCACGCTTGAGAGCCCCAGCGTGATCATCGGCTTCTGCGGGAGGGAGACTGCGCAGCCGCGGCGTGGATCATCGGCTTCTGCGGGCAAGCACTGGAAAGGGGGGGGACGTTTGGGCCGTTAGTTAGGCGTATGTATCGAGTTGCCGTACAATGCTCACCGAGCAGATGCTGTAGCCCTTGACGAAGCATCGCGTGAGTTTGCAGCCCTTCTGGCTCTGTAAAGCTGATGGCCAAAAGCGGGCACCCAGGTTTCTTGCGCTTCAGAAAAGAATAAGAACGCTTCGCACACCTTGAAGTAGTGTGGCTGAGATGACGTAGTTTTCTGTCCCATGTGTTGTCGTACAACTACTACTGGCCCCAGTCGCACCCCCTTTGCTTGCACGGCCGCCGCAGATACAGGGCGCCAGGGTTTACTCCAGACCGCTCGTCGTGAGCTGCCTTACACGAATGGCCACCCTAGTCGGTCCGTGTTGCAGGTGTTGGTGAAGATTTTGACTGCCGCGCTATACCAGACACTGCGGGGTGAGATCGCAGCGGAACGGAGACACCCCCACCAGGAAATCAATTTCGGTTTCGTGATCGTGTCGCGCGTGCGGGCGGGGCGAGGCTGCGATGGCGCGCGAGAACAATGACCCCGCCGTCGCTACGGCGATTCGGATCAGTGGACCGCCCTTCCACCCCTGGTGGGCGCGCGGTGGCCCAGGGTGTCCCGCTGTGGTGTCCTGTGTCGTCCCGTTGGTGCCTTGTTGGTGTCCCGTTTGTGTTCCGTCGGTGGTGGGCGGGCGGTGGCCAGGGGAATCCGTCTAGGTATCGATAGTGAAGTCGATCGTGGGATCGATAATGACATAAATCGTTCGAATGGGATGGATAATGGAATCAAACGTGAGACCAACAGTGTTGTTGATGATGGCGTTGGTGGTTGTGTTCGAGCTGTCGGATGTCTAGGGCGGCGGCGTCCCCTTGAGTCGCGCAGATCACGCGGGGACAGGCGATGTCACAATGGGCGAGCACAATGGGTTCGACCGCTGAATCCATTCGTGCTAAGACTGGCCGTGAGGTTGATACATATGATTAATCGAATGAGATCGAAAGCGGGGGCGATGGTGACATCACATCGCAGCACAGCATCGTCATCACGCGTCGGCGCTAACCCGAGGGAACGTCACCATCATTTTCACCACCACACCCGATCGCATTTGCCAGCAGTTGTTTCCCCCCCACCCCACACCCCCACACCCGGACCTCCTTCTCACCAGAACGTATCACCCGAAAGGTGGTCGTATCGGAGGTTTGGGTGAGTTAGCAGTGGGACGGAGTGCCCACCACCAGGAAATCGATTTCGGTTTCGTGTTCGTGTCGCGCGTGCGAGCAAAGCAAAGCTGCGTGGGCGCACGAGAACAATGACCCCGCCGTCGTTATGGCGATTCGGATGCAGTGGACCGCCCTTCCACCGCTGTTGGGCGCGCGGTGGCCCAGGGTGTCCCGCTTTGGTGTCCTGCAGCGTCCCGTTGGTGCCCCTTTGGTATCCCGTCGGTGTTCCGTCGGCGGTGGGCGGGCGGTGGCCGGGGGTGTTCGCGTAGGTATCGATAGTGAAGACGATCGCGAGATCGATAAGGACATCGCTCGAATGGGATGGATAATGGAATCGAAAGTGAAGCTAACAGTGTTGTTGATGATGGCATTGGTGGTTGTGTTCGCGCTGTCGGATGCCTAGGGCGGCGGCGTCCCCTTGAGTCGCGCAGATCACGCGGGGACAGGCGACATCACAATGGGCGAGCACAATGGGTTCGATCGCTGAGTCCATTCGTGCTAAGACTGGCCGAAAAAGGTTGACACATGTGATGAACCGAATGATATCGAACGCTGGGGCGATGGTGACATTACATCGCAGCACAGCGTCGTCATCGAACGTCGTCGCTAACCCGAGGGCGCGTCACCATCATCTTCACCACCACACCCGACCGCATTTGCCAGTAGTTGTTTTCCCACCCCACCCCCACCCCCGACCTCCTTATCACCAGACCTTACCACCCGGAAGTGCTCCGTCGGCGGTGGGCGGGCGGTGCCCAGGGGTGTTCCGCTTTGGTATCGATAATGTAGCCGATCGTGAGATCGACGCTGGGAACGTCTAAATGGGAGGCAACGTGAGATGATATCGGCTGCGAGGTTGAATGTGGCATCGGTTGTGATATCGGAAGTATATAGAGGAATCGATAATGGCATCGATATATCGATGGTGAGATCGAATGCGAAATACATAGTGATATCCATGGAGAGATCGATAGCGGTATGTGTGGTCGACAGTTGGATCGATGCGGTGAGATCGTAAGCGGGGGCGATAGTTCCCAACCTAGGCTCTGCCTAGAAGGGTTCTTATTCTCTGTGCTTAAAGGGGCCGGGCAGTGCACCCCGCCCCGGGCGGTTCCCCCAGGATCCGCCCCGCGGTTCCCCCAGTTACGTCCCCTTAGCTTAGTGTTGCATATCTCATCTTAGCTTAGTTTATTTCATCTTAACTTAGCTTAGCTTCATCTTAGCTCAGGTTTGTCTTAGCTTAGCTTACCTTCATCTTAGCTTTGCTGAGCTTTAGCATAGCAGAGCACAGCATCGCATAGCATAGCGTAGCATAGCATAGCATAGCATATTAGCATGGGTGTAATTCCCTACCTAGGCTCTGCCTAGAGGGTTAGCTTAGCTTAGCTGAGCTGAGTTGATCATAGCGCAGCGCTGCATTAGCATAATATAGCATAGCATAACATAGCCAAGCATAGCATAGCACAGCATAGCATAGTGCAGCATGACATAGCATGGCATATCATATCATATCATAGCATAGCACAGCTTAGCATAGCAGATCTTAGCTAACACAGCGCAGCATTACATATCATAACATATCATATCATAGCATAGCATCCCATAGCATAGCGCAGCATAGCATATCATAACATAGCATAGCAATGCTGCTTTCCTAGAGGCTCCAACTTCTAGGTCGGGTCGCACTGATGAAATGACATTACACTGCAGAGCAACATCGTCATGACCTGCCGTCGCTAATTCGAGGGCGCGCCACCAGCATCGTTATCAACGCGCCCATCGCATTTGCCCGCAGTTGGTTCTTTCCCCCACCCCCAATATCATTATCACTCGAAGGGTGGTCTTACACGTGGTATCAGTAGATTTCCGTTGCCAGTTTCCATATCATTGTGTTATTCATCTTGTTCCTCCTCGTTTTCCGCCTCTTCCTCCCCCTCCTCGTCCCGTCGCGTTGTTGATGGTTTCGCGGACCGTTTCGGATCACATCCCAGAGGCAGGGCAGTCGACGGTGTATCACAGTGTTCGCTTCGTTGTCGGAGGTTGGGTGGTGAGATCGAGATGGACAGGAACACCCCCCAGTTGGAAATCGGTTTCGGTCTTGTGTTCGTGTCGTGCGCGCGGGCGAGGCAACGCTGCGTGGGTGGGCGAGAGGAATGACCCCGCTGTTGCTGGGGCGGTACTCGACAATTGTCCGAACCTCCCCCGGTAGGCGAGCGGTGGCCAGGTTGTCCCGCCGTGGCATCTTTGTGGCTAGGGCGGGGAAACACAATCGTCCGAACCTCCCCCGGTGGGCGGGCGGTTGCCGGGTCGTCTTGCCGCGGTAATTGTTCGAATTTCCTCCCCCCGTGGGCCGGCGGTGGCCGTCGGTGTCCCGTCGGTGTCCCGTCGGTGTCCCGTCGGTGTCCTCGCGGTGTCCTCGCGGTGGCTGGGGGTGTCCCGCCGTGGTGTCTCGCGGTGTCCTCACGGTGTCCCGCGGTGTGTCGCTGTGGGCGCGCGGGGGAATGATCCCGCCGTCGCTCAAGGAATTTGGATGCAAAAGTTCGGCCCCTCAGTGGGCGGCCGGTGGCTGGGGGTGTCCCGGCGTGGTGCCCCGCCTCGTCCAGATGG